GCCCGCCACCTCAAACTCTCTTCCTCCTGAATCTCTGAGCAGAGAGTTTTCGAAGATCGGTTGTCTCAAAGCTTCCGCTTTTGACCTTTGGATGGCTAGGAACTGGGGTCTCAGCTTCTTCCAAGTCGTGCACCAGGAGGCCCCAATCACCGAATTTGGTCGGCGCTTCAGGAATGTCGACATTTGCAAGCAGAGCCAGACGTCCTCCTTCCGGACCAGGTGAAAGTCCTGTTGTAGAATATACTGCATTATCAACAGCTAAGTTCTCCGTTCCGTTTGAGAGTTAATCTTCAAAAACCATTTGCCCAGCAGGGCCAAATTCTGTCTTTCTGGATCAATTATACTTAAGCCTCCATCACTCTTAGGCTTTGTAACTTTGTCCCAAGCTACCTTGTATATAAATCCTTCCTCATCCGCTGCCGTTGGTTTCCATAAGTACTTGGAGGCTAATGACCTCAACTTCTGCAATGTGGTTCTGGAGATTAGGATAACTGCTGCGATATGCCATATGAGCGAGAAGATTGATGTTGTGATAACTTTGGCTCTTCCCATCAATGAAAGGCCCCTAGCAACTTTACAGCTCATCACCCGGGCTTTTCTGCCTTTGCCACCAAGATAGCGTCTTGTGCCAGCCTGCTGTTGTTCAGAGAGACTTGCACCCCTAAATAGCGTTCTGAATCTTGGACAGGGATCCGTCTCATCGTCCAATCATCTTCAATCTCATACTCAGGTGGGAGAAAATAGACAGATTTATCCCAGTTAACCTTGGCCTCAGACAGGCTAGAATATTGATCAACCAACTCTTTTGCAGCTCTCATGGACTCTGGAGTGGCCTCCGAGATTAAGAGTAGGTCATCTGCAATTGCCCCAACCCTAACCTCCTCCTCATATAGTTGTAAACCTTTGATCAGCGGGGCGGCCCTGACTGCATTCAACACCACTTCCATCTGTATTACAAAGAGCAGTGGGGCCAATGGGCAGCCCTGCCGCAAAGATCGGGTGAGCATGAATTCCCTGGACTTTCTTCCATTAATAGTCACTGTTGCAGTGGAACTTCTATATATCATACTCACCCATCTGCGGAATGATCTACCAAAATTGACATGTTCTAGTGTCTCCAATACAAATGACCAGTTAACCCGGTCATAAGTTTTTTCCAAGTCCAACATCGCCACCAGAACTTGTCTACGTTCTTTATTGATCACCTCCAGCACCCCCATCGCCATCAAGACATTCTCTGAGATTGACCTTCCTTTCACAAACGCCCCCTGATCTAATTTGACTAGGTCCGGGAGGATCTCCCCCACTCTTTTTGAAAGCGCCTTCGCTAATATCTTGTAGGCCACATTTAATAAGGTTATAGGTCTCCAATTATGAACATTCAACTTATCGCCTTTTTTGTACATCAAGGTGATGATACCTCTGCACATGTCCTCAGTCAGCTTCCCCCCCTCCAACACTCTGTTAAATAACCCTACCAAAATTGGGCCTACCTTCTCCCAGGTAGCTTCAAAGAACTCCATTGGTAACCCATCATCTCCCGGCGCTTTGCCTCTTGCCATGCTCCTCATTGCCTCTCTCAGTTCTTCCAACGTGAGCGGGCGGTCCAAGTTGTGTCTTTGATGGTCTGCTAGCCGCACTGCCGTCTGTTGCCAAAGATCTGATTCCAACTGCATCTCTGTCAGGGACTCTTCGGCTGGGCGGCGCGAGGTGAAGATGTCTTTGAAATATTCCGCTGCATAATGTGCTATCCCTTCGTTGTCCGTTGCTACGTCTGCATATGCATTAAATGGATGATGCATCGCCTTGATCAGACTGTGACTCCTCGGTGGACACAAGCGTTGGAATGTTTCTTTCGTCATTCGGTCTACCTGCGTCATACCTTTCTCCCTAGCTCGCTGCACCCAAATTTCCTGCTCCGCAATCTGCAATTTCTCCCACTTTTCCAGCCATTCCACTCTCCTCTTCTCCTAGTAAATATCAGATAGGGGATCTCTCCCTATCTGATCTTCTGCTTCCTCAACCCTTTGTTGGCACTCTTGCTCTTCCTTATTTTTCTCCCTTGCCAAGATCCTTGAAAACACATCCAGAGCTCCAGTAACAATCCTGAACCCCAGCTGAGTCCAATCTTCCTCCGATTCAAACCAGCTCTTTGTCTTGGACCAATCTTCCCAGTGTTTTCTGCACCACTCTATGGCAGCTGGGTTCTTAAGATGTTCTGTATTTAAACGAAAGGTACCAGTGTCTCTTTTGATGGCTGGACCTGTTCTTAGCATGGCCAAAACTGGGCGGTGGTCCGACATCGGGGCTGGTACCGTTTCTGCACTGGTCATTGCCTCCCAAGGTTCCCCTTTTACCAAAGTAGGTCAAGTCTTCGCTTGGGAGGTTCGAAATTCTGTTGCTGCTGAGTGGAAAACCAAGTGAATCCCGGCTCATTCGGGTAGATCTGTCTGAAAGCATCTGTCAAGTTTCTCTCCACCATAAACTGCATCAACATGTGAGCGTCGTCTTCCTTATCTCAGGTTCCTGTGAGTCTAATCCCGGAATCAAAACTGTGTTGAAATCCCCTGCGACCACCATGTTTTGCGCATATGGAACTATGTGTTGCAATTCCAAAAAGAAAGAGCGTCTCTCTCCCGGAATCGAGGGTACGTACACCGACATCAACATCCACTCCTGGTTTTCCATGCTGACTTTCATCCATGCCCACTGTCCCCAAATGTCAGTCAAGAAGTCAAGGATCGTTAGTTCGACGTCCTTATGGATCAAGATTGTTGTACTTCCACGTGTACCATTTGCGGGAGCCCACAGTTGGGGGCCACTCCACCAACGAAAAATCTCTAAAATTCTCGCTTCATCCAATTTCGTTTCTTGTAAGAAAACAATGTGTGCTTTCCGGCGGTGGATCCAAGTTTTTAGTCGTGCCTTCTTAAATTTCCTTGACAAATCAACCAGACCTCTCACATTCCAAGTTGTTATGCGGAGGCTATCCATTTAGGGGTGGTTGTGGTGCGGTTGGTGTCTGGATCCGCGGGTCTGTTGCTTGGGATTTGTTGCTTCCTTTTCTTCTTCTTCCCTGTGTCTGTGCTTCTGTTTCGGTAGGTGAATCCCAGGGGGTGAGCAGCAAGCTACGAAACGACGGTGACCAGGGTTGTTTATCTCCAGGCAAAGCTGTGCAGAACTCTGCCACGAAAGAGGCTGATATACCTTCCACGAGCTGGACCTTCTCGGTTTCTTTGGAAGTGTTGGAGTCCAACCAGTTTGGCGAAACCCAGCATATTGTTTGTGTGGCCAACTGGGAGGCCACTTCCGCTGTGATCTTTACATCCAGCACAGCTGTGAGAAACGAGACAGAGCCCTGTGGAAGGGTAAATGACTTCCTGCCCGTCCTTATCCCTGGAATCAACCTGAATGGAAAGCGACCTGTTACAAAGTGTTGAGACTCCGTCCTAATTGCCTCTTTCGTGAGGGGGACTGATCCCACTGGGACTGTGGGAAGAGTCCATCCTCCTGTACATGTGTTTATAACCATAATTTTCACCCCTTGCGGGGCCAACGAGGCACAAACTAGAACCAGCATGTGTGTAGCTCCTCTTAGATCTGAGCCAGTTTGGGCTGGGATTTCCCCTTGTCCGGAGGGGGCTAGTTTTGCCTGTGACTGCATGGCTTCTCCACTTCCTTCTGCTGCTTGGCTAGCTGAGGGACGGATACTGTAAAATTCTACAGTTCCCTCAACTTCCTCCTGTGTCGTTTCTCCCTCACCTCCCTCTCCTACTCTCCTGACTTTTACTGGGGCTTGTAAGGATTTTCGATTACCCGGATCTCTCATAATCTGGTCCAGAGGAGGAATGTCACCCTCACCACCTCTTACTCCTACCCTGTTAATTCGCTCCTGTGACATTCTCTCCCCCACCCTCATTTCCGCCAACTGCTGTTCGTTGCTCCAATGTCGATCGAGACCCAAACACTCCCGTGCTGCTCTTTCTTCCCTGTTGTTTTCTATTGTAAATTCCGGATTAAATTGCACCGTGACGTAGGCTTGGCTCGATCTTTCTGTCAGTCTTCTCCTTTGACTTTTTTTCTTCCCCTCTCCTCGCCTCTCTGCATCTCTCTACTCAATCGCATGGATCGTCGTTTTATGCTATGATCTTCTCAATTGGAATGTTTCTATGCACTGTTTGATTGTGTTTGGGATATAGCTTGGGTATAATCATCACAAAAGTATGTTCTGCTGGAGATCAATCTTTCCTTTCGCCTGCTCTCGCCTTTTGAAACCTCAATGCTTTTTCGTCTTCTATGCAGGATGCTGTTTTTTGGTGTAGGTATCCTTATGAAATCTGCGCTTACGACAGTTTGTCATGAAATGCTTATCTTATTGATGGGGTTGGAAAATNGCAGGATGCTGTTTTTTGGTGTAGGTATCCTTATGAAATCTGCGCTTACGACAGTTTGTCATGAAATGCTTATCTTATTGATGGGGTTGGAAAATGGATTGCCTCGACGAGGCGTATGGTGGCGCTGTAGATATGGAAAATTGCCTTGTCATTTCAATCTGTCGCATGCTTTCATACTCTTTCCACTTTTTTTCTACTTTTTTCTGCTTTTTTTGTTTTTTTCGCTCTGCGGGATGGTTTTTTGCCCCACTGAAGTGCGAGGCACCCCTACCCCCCTTCACCTCGATTCGCCATCTAAACGCAAAGAATGGCCTACTTCAACCGATAAACAGCCCCATTATTGCCCTCCCCACAAGGGAACCTAGAAATGGCTTTACCCCGCCGCGTTGGAAGATCGCCTCCCGCGTCTTGATTTTTGCTCACAGTGTGCTGACTTTTTTCAGTCGGAGTAGCATGAGTATGACGTGTCGTGCTCATGTGAAGCGCATGTTACACACACATGCTACACACATAGGAGGATGTGTTTCCTCGATTGCTGCCGGGGGGTGTCCCCCTCGACCGCACCGTGAAGCGTTATGCGTTCCTTATACGCACCCGCGTGAATGTGGGGTGATGACGGTGGCTATGGGGTACGCCCGGGTCGGCTGCATACGGGTGAGGGATTGGCTGGATAGTGTGGGAAAGAAGACGACTGTGTACGACGTGAGTTGTGGCGAGAAATGACGTGAGCTTGGGGACAGCTGGTGGGAATGTGCTTTGACGTATCTTTGCTGTCCTCTTGCGTGTGATCCCTCCCCCTCTCCCGATCCCCGATCTTTCCTTCACAAACTTCCCTCGATTTCACTCTCCTCGCACCACCGCCCTTGATCGCCCGATTTCCGGCTCCCGTCCCTTTCACCTACCCACTCCCTCTTCCTTCCCTCCGCGCTCCTGTCACATATGATTGTTCCCTTCGCCGAACACCCGCAGAGACCGCCCAAAGAATCCTTCCCGGGCGGTTGGTGGAATGGGTTGACGCATCGCTTCCCATGGCTGAAGGACTGTGCATGGCCCTCAAAACCCACGCAAGCCCTGATGACCTGCGTTAACCCTGGGGTCATGGACGCGGTTAAAAGCGCGTGGGACACCGGACGCTTCCCACACTTTTTCGAAGTGCTATGCTTCAGTGACTTCGCCGTTCTCGCTGGGGCATGGGATCGCAACAAACAGGACTTCGACGATGAGTTGGGGGCATTGGGTGAGCGTCTTGAGTTAAGAAAGCAGGAGTATGCCAAGGAGTGTAAAGAGCTGGTGGGAAGATCCGCCAGGGTTGAACGGATCCTCCTCAGGATTTGGGGCATAGACGACTCGCACCTAGATGGACGAATCCATGATGCACCGGAAGGATCGACACCCGCTACGGCGGGCAATTGGGTCACTAGATGTGATGATCTTGCGATAGAGGATGATGAGCGGGAGGAGATGGAGCGTGCTATCGCTGCCATTGCCACCGCCATCAGAGATTCCCCGCTCACCAATAGTCGGGCAAGCGCCAGTGGCTCGGAACAAGACTGATATACAGTGTTTGCTCCTCTAGCCTCCACGTACTGGGTTGAGCACACGTCCACGGGTTTTCGGCATGCGATTTGGAAAATGGAGACGTTTAACCATGTAGCACCGATCTCCGTCAGGGCCCTCCAATTCCTGGGAAACAGGTAAAGGAATGCAGGACGCAAGCGATGAAAGGAAAACTAAAATTCTCCGGCAGGGTCCCTCCGCTGGATCCCCAAGACCTCAAATTTCCTCCCATGCGCGCGTTCGATCTAGATAGATGCGGGGATACTAGCTCTGGGATGTGGCAGAAAGCGATCAGACAGCAAGATCGGCTAGATCTTAGGAATGTTAGGAAGATTTGGAGCGTGGGCAGACCCTATCTCAAATGCAAATGCAAGAGGGAGAGGAACAAGGACTGTGGGGACACACCTCTCTGGTTCAACCATGCCCTCTGGTACCTACCTGCTTGCACACCCGGACGTTCTGTTCCCAGACATGTCCTCGATCAAGATTAGGACGTTGATGCTGATACACTACCTCAGAACCTCATGGAGGGAGGGGGTGCTTGCCGCCATTGGTTTTCACTTCATTAGGGATCTGATGATGGGTTACATCAAAGAGCTTGAGACAGATGCGACTCTCGACACGGAAGGACTACTGAAGGATGATCGTCTGTGGAACTATTTGGTCCCCGCCCTGATTGCACGAATCATGCTCCCCACACGAATCCCTGAAAAACCCACGAGGTTCCCGCTCAGCTCTCCACGTATCACAGCACGTAAGAGGAACGCGGGCGTACACATTCCGCGCCAAACTATGCTCAACTTTCGACGGGTAACCCCTATACCTGGCGCTTCCCCTCCGCCCGCGCCAGGCACTCCTCCTCCCCCTCC